CGGATTGCGACCAGAGTCACGGAACGGATTAAATTTGTAACCCGAGGTACCACTGTAAATAGATAAAATTCCATATTTTCTCGGAACCATTTCTCTAGTGAAAGGAACACACATACATATGTATAGACAATCTATCTGTAACTCAAATGTTTGCATGCTCTTGTTTAGTTTTTGTGAAAAAAATGTCACACTTGGAGTCTTGTGGGGTTCAAAGCAAGCGGGGCACGCATAAAATTGAATTTGTCAACAGCTGAATGTGTGCCATTAACATCTTGATGAGGAATGTCATAAAAGTCTTCCTCTGTTCAAAACAGATGTGATAGACCCAGCTTTGCAGTGTGTCCAAATGTATGGCGCTGAGAATGTGTTCGGTGTTCCTGGATATGTTTAAAATTTTATACTTAATAGAAAGAGGCATTTAAAAAAAGACTACGTTGCAATTATACTCAGCGGGTTAAAATTTTACCAGTTGCATTTGTAGAAATGTGGTCATCTTCAGGAATGTTTTAACTATAGCAGCATACACATCTCCCCTTGTTTGAATGTTGGATTATATGATGCTAAAAGAAATTAGCTATCCTCTTACCCATACGGCATATTGGCAGAGTCCACACAAATTGCTAGATTAGAGAAACTGAGCTGAATAATTTGTGGGAACCCATCCATTCTCTTCTCATGGCCACATGAATCAAACCATTATATTGAGCCATAATAAGTTTAGCTTGTTATATTGTTTGTTACAATGTGTATGTTAACCCAGTTTTAAGGTTTAGCATGTTGTGTGAACTGAACCATGGTGTTTTCAGGATCCTGTGGAACCCATGCCCCCTATATGAGACCTGTCTATCCGACCAAAACCTTCCCAAACTTGTACACTCTGGCAACTGTAAGTTTTCTTGTTCTTCATGCGTACATACAACTATTTTTAAAAATCCTTCTCTAATATTAGCATGGCTGGGAGATTAAAACTCTTGAATATCTTACTGTCTTTCCTCTTTTGAACTGGGGAAAAAAGCTCATTAATTTAAGGATGGCCCTTTATATTCCTGGGGTGGAGAAATAATCAGGACTATGTACTCTATAAAGAGTTAAGAAAAGACAATCTCTAATCATTCCAGCTTGATGAAAATATTTCTGGACTCGTGGCTTAAATAAGCATTGTCCTGTACTGGTGTCTCCCTAGATACAGGATACCTTCAGCTCCATCCTAGTCATGCTGGCTGCTGATTATGGAACTGAAGTCCCAGATCTGGAAGGTATCATCTTGGTGAAGTCTGGCAGAATAATCATTGACTATAAGGGGAAGCTTCAGTAGCAAGTTTAGAAGCAAAATGAGGCCATCAAAAAGATAAAATAGATGTTATATATTCTAAGTGTTCAGATGGGTATATAATTGTATGTATGTACGTATGTATGTATGTAATATTAACTAACTCACTTTTGCACAAAGGGGCTCTATCCTGAATCTCATGGAATAATTGGAAATTCAATGTACGACCCTGTATTTGACGCTACTTTTAGCCTTCGAGGAAGAGAGAAATTCAATCACCGATGGTGGGGAGGCCAACCGGTATGTATCAGTTTTGTTTGACTTTGGTCCATTATGGTTAACTCTCATAGCTGTGGCTTTTGAGTTCTTGTAGTGGCACTAGTTGCTTTCACTATTTTACACGGAATTCATTTTAGTCAGTAGTTAATTCAATTAATGCTAATTTTCACTTTTATTTTTTTGGTCTTGTCCCTGTCCCTTTTTGAAGCGTGGCTTCTAGCAGGTACATGTACACCCTAGGCTATGTAAATCTTTTGAATTATTAAAACAGCCGGGTCCTTCTCCAGGCTTATGAAACCACTTCAAAAGCTGTCCTTGACTGTTTCTTCATTCATTAAAAGCATTCATTAAAATACACACAAAGGGCATGTGTGTGGAAACTCCAGGATTGTCTTCAGCTAGAGTTGCCAATTCTGAGTTGACAAAGTGGGGAAGCTGCATATTTATTGCACAGGATTTTTTATCTTGTTTATTGAATTTTTCTCTCTTCCTTTTGAGGGTAGTCTTAAATAAACTTTTTTACACTATTTAGTAGGGTAACTATTATTACTATTATTAAGAAGCCTATTATTGGAGGGTCACTTCAGAATGTCCTTTGAACTGGCTGTTTGAACATGAAGGAGCCATGTCCTTTTGAAGAGGCAACATGGCTGCTTTGAAGATTTCCATTTGTCAAGTGATACGCATGTCTGTTCATCCATAAAAGGCATTTCTCCACTGTATGTGCACATGTACGCTCAGAGGAAAAGAGTTCACTTGGAAAGATCGAAAGATTGCTACCAACCAAAAGAACCCACTTCAGATCATGATTGATGTACATCTCTACCAG